TCAATAGAAAAATGATTTCAATTTTTTTAAGATTTTTATTTATTTATTTGACAGAGAGAGACACAGCGAGAGAAGGAACACAAGCAGGGGGAGTGGGAGAGGGAGAAGGAGGATTCCCACTAAGCAGGGAGCCTGATGTGGGGCTCGATCCCAGGACCCTGGGATCATGACCTGAGCCAAAGGCAGATGCTTAACCACTGAGCCACCCAAGAGCCCCTAGAAATCATTTCTTTAAGTGAATTTAAACATTCTCTTGATTACACAGTGGATAAATATATGTGGTTAGAGAAATATTTATTGATTTAAATAAAATGATAGAATTTGTACATCCAAATTAATTTGTTTCCTTCAAAATAATCATCTAAAGAAATAACATACTTTTCTAAGAATGCTGCTATTTTTTCAGAACCAGTTGGAACTTGTTTTTATTTTCTCAGAATTTATGGTACCTTTTTTGAATATTCTGTAAGAAATAAGACCATCTTAAAGTTTCAAAATATTTCTATGTAATCTTTCAAAGAGATAATACTCAGTTGTATTAGCTTTAGATTTTTTAAGTTATTTATAATAACATCTTAAATATCAGTATATTTTTTCAGTGGTGCTGAACTATGGATTAGAACAATGTTTCTATCTTTTTTTTATATAAAGACTTAATTTTTTTTAGAGTAGTTTTAGCTTCACAGCAAAATTGAGAGAGGAAGATACAGAGATTTCTTATACATACCCTGCCCCCACACATATATAGCCTCTCCCATTAATCAGCATCCTTCACCAGAGTTGTACATTGTTACAATTAACGTATATTTACATATCATCGTTCAAAGTCTATATTATAGTTCAGTCTTGGTGCTGTACATTCTGTAGGTTTGGACAAATGTATAATGACATGTGTCATCATTATAATATCATACAGAGTATTTTCACTGTCTTAAAAATTCTCTGTGCTCTGCCTGTTCATTCTTCCTACCACTCCTCTGCCAACCTCTGGCAACCACTGATCTTTTTATTGTTCTTTTCTTTAAGATTTTATTTATTTATTTGAAAGAGAGAGAAAGAGCGAGAATGCATGCACAAGCAGGGATAGGGGCAGAAGGAGAGGGAGAAACAGACTCCTTGCTGAGTGTGGAGCCCGACATGGGGGCTCGATCCCAGGACTCTGAGATCATGACCTAAGCTAAAGTTAGATGCTTAACCAACTGAGCTACCCAGCTGCCCCCACTGATCTTTTTATTGTCTCCATAGTTTTGCCTATTCCGCAATGTCACGTGGTTGAAACATACAGTATATAGCCTTTTCAGATTGATTTCTTTTGTTTAGTAATATGCATTTAAGGTTCCTCTATGACATTGCATGGCTTGATAGCTCATTTCTTTTTAGCATTGAATAATATTCCATATATGTACCAGTTTTTTTCTTCATCTATTTAGTTACTGAAGGACATCTTGGTTGCTTCCAAGTTTTGGTAATTATGAATAAAACTGCTATAAACATCTGTGTACAGGTTTTTATGTGAACATAAGTTTTCAACTCCTTTGGGTAAATACCAAGGAGTGTGATTGTTGGGTCACATGGTAATAGTATGTTTAGTTTTGTAAGAAACTGCCAAATTGTCTTCCAAAACATTGTACCATTTGAATTACCATCAGAAATGAGAAATCTGGTTGCTCCACATCCTCAGCAGCATTTGGTGCTTCAGTGGTTTGGATTTTAGTCATTGTAGTAGATATGTAGTAGTATTACATTATTTTAATTTGCAGTTCCCAAATGACATATGATGTGGAGCATCATATTGCCTATTTGCTGTTCATATATGTCTTTGGTGAGGTGTCTGTTCAGATCTTTAGTACATTCTTTTAATTGGGTTGTTTGTTTTTTTATTGTTAAGTTTTAAGAGCTCTTTGTATATTTTGGTTAACTGTACCTTAAATCTTTATGTCTTTTGCAAATATTTTCTCCAGGTCTGTGGCTTTTCTTATTCTCTTGACAGTGTCTTTCACAGAACAAAAGTTTTGAATTTTAGTGAAGTCCAACTTATTAATTCTGTCTTTCATGATTGTACCTTTGGTGTTGTATCCAAAAAGTCTGCTAAACGCAAAATCATCTGAGTTTTCTCCTATGGTACCTTCTGGGACTTTTATAGTTTTGCATTTTACATTTAGGTCTATAATGAATTTTGAGTTAATTTTTGTGAAGGGTATAAAGTCTCTGTTTAGATCCCCCCCATTGTTGTTGTTGTTGGTTTTTGTTTTTTTTTTTTTAAGATTTTATTTATTTATTTGACAGAGAGAGACACAGTGAGAGAAGGAACACAAGCAGGGAGAGTGGGAGAGGGAGAAGCAGGCTTCCCGCCAAGCAAGGAGCCCGTTGTGGGGCTCCATCCCAGGACCCTGGGATCATGACCTGAGCCGAAGGCAGACGCTTAACGACTGAGCCACCCAGACGCCCCTTTTTTTGTTTTTTTTTGGCCTGGGATGTCCAGATGTTCCAGCACCATTTGTTGTAAAGACTGTTCTTTCTCCATTGAGTTGCCTTTGCTCCTTTGATAAAGATCATTTGACTGTATTTGTGTGGGTCTATTTATGAGCTATATTCTGTTCCTTTGATCTATTTGTCTATTCTTTCACCAGTGCCACACTGTCTTGATTACTGTAGCTTTATAGTAAGACTTGAAGAAGTTGGGTAGAATCATACCTTGAACTTTGTTTTTCAATATTGTGTTCGTTACTGCCATCTTCTTTTGAACAACATGGATGTTAAAATATCCATGAGAGACCCATGGAGAGAGTCCCAACTGTCTTCCATGAGAGTCCAGAAGACTAGGTATTAGATATTATAGTTGTATTGCTAACTTATATTTACGAGATGTTCAGTAAGTGTTGTATTTGAAATGTATACTCGCCAGAAATTTTTGTTTACTGGTTTGAAGGAGAGAGAGAAGTAGTGAGCAGACTGCTGCCATGTTACTATGAGCATAGCTGTAAATGCCATTTCCTTATATTTATTAATGGTTTAGTATCTTATTTCATGTTGTTTAGAGTCTAAATGGTAAGATAAAAATGAGCAAATATCAGGCAGCGTGATGCCCCCAGCTCTGTTTTTCTTTTTCAACATTTCCTTGGTGATTTGGGGTCTTTTCTGATTCCATACAAATTTTAGGATTGTTTATTCCAGCACTTTGAAAAATGTCGGGCAGCGTAGACATTTTCACAATGTTTATTCTTCCGATCCATGAGCATGGAATGTTTTTCCATCTTTTTGTGTCTTCTTCAATTTCTTTCATGAGTGTTCTGTAGTTCCTAGAGTATAGATCCTTTACCTCTTTGGTTAGGTTTATTCCAAGGTATCTTATGGTTTTTGGTGCTATTGTAAATGGAATTGATTCTCTAATTTCTCTTTCTACAGTTGCATTGTTAGTGTATAAGAAAGCAACTGATTTCTGTGCATTGATTTTGTATCCTGCCACATTACTGAATTGCTGTATGAGTTCTAGGAATTTGGGGGTGGAGTCTTTTGGATTTTCCACATAAAATATCATGTCATCTGCAGAGAGAGAGAGTTTAACTTCTTTGCCAATTTGAATACCTTTTATTTCTTTTTGTTGTTGGATTGCTGTTGCTAGGATTTCTAGTACTATGTTGAATAGCAGTGGTGATAGTGGGCATCCTTGTTGTGTTCCTGATCTTAAGTCAATTATCATATGGTTTCACTTATTAGTGGAACATAAGGAATAGCATGGAGGACATTAGGAGAAGGAAGGGAAAAATGAAGGTGGGGAAATCAGAGGGGGGATGAACCATGAGAGACTATGGACTCCCAGAAACAAACTGAGGGTTTTAGAGGGGAGGGTGGTGGGGGGATGGGTTAGCCCGGTGATGGGTATTAAGGAGGGTACATATTGCATGGAGCACTGGGTGTTATACGCAAACAATGAATCATGGAACACTACATCAAAAACTAATGATGTACTGTATGGTAACTAACATAATAAAATAAAATTTTAAAAAGTGAACAAATATATGATTATAATAATTGATATTTTTAGTGAAGTTAAAATCTTGTTACCTGTACCTTTCATTTCTTCTATTCTTCCATTATGTTGACATTCTTTTTTTTCTATATTTTTATTTTTTTATTTTTTTAAAGATTTATTTAATTATTTGAAAGAGAGAGAGAATGAGAGAGAGAGAGCACATGAGAGGGGGGAGGATCAGAGGGAGAAGCAGACTCCCCGCTGAGCAAGGAGCCCAATGCAGGACTCGATCCCAGGACTCCAGGATCATGACCTGAGCCGAAGGCAGTCGCTTAACCAACTGAGCCACCCAGGCGCCCTTTTTTTTTTTTTAAAGATTTTATTTATTTATTTGAGAGAATGTGAGAGAGAACACATGAGAGGGGGGAGGGACAGAGGGAGAAGCAGACTCCCTGCTGAGCAGGGAGCCCAATGTGGGACTCGATCCTGAGACTCCAGGATCATGACCTGAGCCAAAGGCAGTCGCTTAACCAACTGAGCCACCCAGGCGCCCCCATTATGTTGACATTCTTATAATGGGGGTTCTTATGTTGGATGATTGATGTTTAAACATTAAGAAGATTATACCAAACTTTTAGAATTTGCACAAGCATTTCTTTTTGAAGTATAAGATTAATAAGTAGAATATTTTTTCCCATCAAATGTTGTAATGAATTAAAATTAAAGTGAAGGGACTAATGTCTTAATCTTTTACAAGTCAGGATTTTTTTAAAGATTATTTGTTAATGCAATGGAAAGGAGTTACTTAGTACTACATGAGACATTATTATGTTTACATCTGAGGCCAGAGATGTTGCTCTCTCTTCTGATCTTTCCTCAGACCTAGCACATTGGCTTGCACAATAAAAATTGAGAAATGAAAAAAACTGTACTTCAGATAGAGTAGATAAACAGTGATCTTATATTTTTATTTTTATCTCTTCATACAACTATAAATTTGCAAATGAATTTAAATTCTTTATTATAGTTGGTGGCTAAAGGAGTAAAGAATTCTGATATGTCTCCACCTTTGGGACAACATGAAGCAGGTGGCTCTCCATCAAAGCAACAGATGAGATCTGTTATTTCTGTGACTTCAGCTTTGAAAGAAGTGGGAATGGTAAGTTTCCTAAAATTTAGAACTCCTCAAAGTGAAAGTTTATTAGAAGGATTAAATTTAATGAACTTACATTAATTCCTAATGTATTAAATTTTTCTAGGGAAAATAAAATAACTTCTTAAGATTTTTGTGTATGACTTACTGTGCATACTGGAACCTCACTGCTCATAGGTTTATATCTAGGACCATCTAATACATAAAATTAGATTTAATTGATTGTCTCTCATTTTTACTTTAAAAGAATATTGAACAAATAAATTATATGCAGAAATGTACAAAAAATAATGCAACAAACATTTTTATACCTCAGTTCTCACAATTAAAGTTTCATTTTTTTTTTAACAAAGGTTCATTTTTTATTTAAATAATGTCTCTTTGGTACTTAATTAACTTCAGGAATAGTGTCCAAGACATGTTTACATTTATTTTTAAATTTTTGGCATAATAGATGTTGGAAGACTTAATATAATTACACTTAATCCATCAATTATTTCTTTTACCTTCTACGTATGAATCTCTGTCATGCTATATGAATACTGAAACAAAGAATTGTGGGCAAGTAAAAAGTTTAAACTTAGAATTATGTGTCAGGTGTTCATCTAAAATGTGAAATCTCTGTTCTGGGATTAAAGGAAATGGGCTCTTGATAAGGAATTTTAGCCTAGAATTTAACACACAGGAAGGAGAAAGTCTATTGAATTATATAACACATTACCTTGATTTTCTCTTGTCTTTTTAATTAATGTCTCTGCCTTTTAATTGCTGAGTTTCATTAAGTTTTTGCAGACAACACTGATACACCATTTTCTTTTTTATAGCCTTTGTGTTTATCTTGAAAATAAGACTGAGTAGGAAAATACAAATTTCTTGGTCACTCTCAAGAACTTCATATACAAAACTATTGTTCTTCAAGTAGGTTTAGTCTCTTTTTTCTTTCTGATAACGATTTTGCGTGTGCTGCATTGTTCACTTCAACTTTAGATACCACTGTGTGGTTTCCTTCCTGGTACCCAGTCTCACATCTCAACTAGCTGTTCATCTCTCTGGTTGTAGCGACTGCTAATTCCTGACTACTTTATTGGGTAAAATGCTCTTTGTCTCATTTACATGTATTACTTTAAAACTGACCACTATACTCTTTTGTATTTTCCTCAAATATTACAAAATTTGAGGTAATTCTGTATAATGAAATGGTTTTTCTTTTTGTGTTGTCTTTGTAAATACTCCTTACTTAAAACTTTGAAAAATGCTCTTTCTTACTTTGCATCTTTCAGATACTTTTGCTTTCATAGCTTTCAAAACTAATTTCTTCTTTTCATGTGTTTAAAAATTCTCATTGGTCTAGAGCACTATGATTGTACTAATCAAGACAGACTTTATATTATTGTTGGTACAAAGGACTCAAAACTTATTTTTATTATTCTCTTTGCTTATGGAGAGAAGCCAATTCTCAATTATGTTTGGTAGTATGGCTTAATAGGAATATATATACATGAAACATAAAGACAGCTTCAAAATAACACAGCCTAGCCTAAATTACTTTATCCACCAAAACTCCCTAGCTTTAATTAAGAGAGTATATGAGTAATCAGTTGGTTAGGTGTCTGACTCTTGATTTCAGCTCAGGTCATGATCTTAGCGTGGTGAGATTGAGCCCCATGTTGGGCTCTGTGCTGTGTGTGGAGCCTGCTTAAGATTCTCTGTCTCTCCCTCTCTTCCTTCCCCTCCCTCACGTGCATGCACACTCCCTCTAAAAAAAATTGGGGGGGAGTGAAGTATATGAGTTAATTTTCTTTCTGTTAGTACCATTGACCTAAAATTACCAAAAATCAGGTGCCAAAAAGGAAGAGGATATAGTTAAATATGTGATCAGTAATCTAAAAATAAGATAAACAGTTGAGAATTGGCCCTTCTATTAAGTTTATTACTTGATTATATGTAACTATTTCTCATTTCCGATAATGAAGGAAGCTATGTTAACATTTTACAGGGATAAAAAAATTCACAAGGAGCAATTTAACGAAAAACAGAAAGTAACAAAAATACGTAAGTTTTTAAGGTAGACATTTAAAATAACATTTCTTACTTTATAACTCTCTGTATTTATAGGACAGGAGTTTAACTGATACCCAGGAAACCTCAGAAGACATGCAGAAGACTAACACTGCTGTTTCAGTAAGTACAATTTTCAAACTCTGTCAATCATTTTACTAATTGTATAGATATTAAAATATAACACTTTACTGTTTCAGAGTAAGCGAGAAATACTACGTAGATTAAATCAAAATCTTAAAGCTCAAGAAGATGAAAAAGGAAAGCAATGTCACTCTGATACGTGTGAGATAGTTGTTAATGAAGATGCCAAAGAACATGAAAAAGAAAAATCGGGTTCATCTGATCGCAAAAAATGGGAGGCTGGAGGTCAACTTGTGATTCCTTTGGATGAGTTAACATTGGACACATCCTTCTCTGCAACTGGAAGTATGTATCAAATGTTAATATTCTGTGATGGTCTAGCACACATGTAAACTTGTAGACTGGATACTTGGAAAGAAAGAACACTTAGGGGGGTTGAGAAAGGCTGGAAAAATTTCTTTGTATGTGAAAAACGGAGAAAACTATTCAACCTTAAGAATAGAAAGGATTTTTATTACGATAGTGTGTGGTATTGGAGAGGGAACTAATAATATATATTTAAATTGTATTACTTTAACTCTTTCTACCACTTGTATTACTTTAATCTGTTACCAGGAATAATTCCTGATGAGAACCAAAATAGTGAACTTTGACAGAATCTCAGTAAGTTCTCTTAGGTACGTAGCCAAGGGTATGGAAAAGATCTCACTTAATGATTTATTTATTCAGCAGTAATTATTGAGCAGCTGTTTTCTTGCATTGTCCAAGGCACCAGAGAGAGATACAATAATAAATAAAAACATGTGCTCTTGTGGAGCTTACATTCTGAAAGGGCAAGTTTGATTGTCAACCAACTAAATATAGTTTCAAGTAATTTTTTTTTAAAGGTTTTATTTATTTATTTGACAGAGACAGTGAGAGAGGGAACACAAGCAGGGGGAGTGGGAGAGGGAGAAGCAGGCTCCCCACTGAGCAGGGAGCCCGATGCGGGGCTCGATCCCAAGACCCTGGGATCATGACCTGAGCCAAAGGCAGACGCTTAACGACTAAACCACCCAGGCACCGCAGTTTTAAGTAATTTTTTTAATGGACTATTTTCATAGAATTCTTTCTTGCGTTGGAGAAAAGCTCAAAGACTCTAACCTATGGTGTCTTTTATTTTGTTTACTTATTCAGCAGTTCTTTCTGAGTCCCATTAAATGCCACACATTCCTCAGCAATGAAGTTACAATAATGATTAAGACAGTCCCTTCCCTTAAGGAGCTTAGGGCCTGGTGGAAAGGGAGACAAGTATAGAGGCAATTATAGTTGATAAGGAATATACTAGAAATTATCATAGGCTACTGTAAGAATATGTATTAGGACATAAATCAGTCTTGGGGAAGCCAAGGAAATAATTTGTGGAAAAAGGGATGAGCCAAGGGATAAGTAGTTAACTAAACCAAAAGCCAAGCCAAGTGTTTTAAGCATAGAATAACTAGGACCCAGGTGAGAGAGCATGTAAAATTCAGGGAACTTGGTATAATTCAGCATGGATGGCTAAAATTCAGAAGTTAAGACAAAGAATGGCAAGTAAGAAGCCTTCAAAGGGGTAAGCAGGGTCAGATCATGAAGGGTACTATACATTGGCTCTCTCAAACTGTATGAACTTACTCTGAGTGCAGAGAGCAGTCTTTGATACAAGGGTTAGCACATGTTTTCTGTGAATGCCAGATAGTAATTATTTTAGGCTTTGCAGGCTATAAGGACTCTGTTGGAACTTTTCTACTCTGTCACTATAGTGTAAAAGTAGCAATAGACAATATGCAAATGTATTAGCATGGCTGTGTTTCCAGTAAAATATTTTTTAGGGGTATTGAAATTTGAATTTCTTAAAATTTTCTTTAATGTCTTCTATTTCTTTTCTCAGACTTTCTGTTTTTCATTGCTATAAAGAACATTCATGATTGTTTCCTGGAAAATTTTTATAATAACTTTTAAAATCTTTGTTAGATAATTCCAGTATCTGTGTTATATTTGTGTTGGTTATTAATCAGTAGTCATCTCCCATGAGATAATCCTCTGTCTTCTCTTGTGAGAGTTGTACTGCATGTTTTGTGTTCCCTATCATGTAGCACAGATTTTATGCATGAAAAGTGGTTATTAATTACATAAAGATGATGATAAACACAGATGATGTTGTGAGATCTCTCAGGTGATGGGGCTATAAATGACTTAGAGCACCTCTGAGGCAATAAACTATTACCAGTGTGACAGGATGGGATGGAGACAAAGGTAGAGAGACGCAAGTAAGTTTGATATAAGATGAAAAAATTCCTGCCATGTTTTCTTAAAAAGTAGGAAGAAAGGTCATATGGAGACCAGAAACACAAGAATTGGATAATTTTGAATCAGATAAGCCTATCTCAGACAAATATATAAGGACATTTGAGACACCTTATTACCTTATTAAAAACACTTTACATGGAAAATTAGCATGAGATTAATACTGTTATATGAACAATAGTTCATCTCATGAATTCAAAAATCATATTTAACGTAAGTATGCAATATATTTATGTGATAAGTTTTTACATAGTATAAACAATGTATAAAATTTCTCTCCACCTCAACATCTCCATTTCCATCCTTGTTATGAAGTAACCACTGATATACTTTATCCTTCTGAGCTCCTTCCTGTGTGTGTTTGTGTTTGTGTGTGTGTATCTGAATAAAGACACGTTTTATATCTTTATGTTACAATATATGTTATATATCATTTATTGTATTTATTTTACATATAAGTGTATATTATAAATCTTTTCATATCACTGATTAAAAAATTCCCTTCATCTTTTTATAGCTATGTAATAGTCCATTGTATAATCATACATGATTTACTTTTCTCAACATTTTATTTATTTATTATGTTCAGTTAGCCAGCATATAGTACATAATTAGTTTTTGATGGAGTGTTCAATGATTCATTAGTTGCATATAACACCCAGTGCTCATCCCAACATGTGCCCTCCTTAATACCCATCACCCGGTTACCCCATCCCCCCACCCCTCCGTAACCCTCAGTTTATTACCTGGAGTCCAGAGCCTCTCATGGTTTGTCTCCCTGTCTGATTTCTTCCCATTCAGTTTTCCCTCCCTTCCCCTGTGGTCCTCCACTCTATTCCTTATGCTCCACATATGAGTGAAACCATATGATAATTGTCTTTCTCTGCTTGACTTATTTCACTTAGCATAATCCCCTCCGGTTCCATCCATGTTGATGTAAATGGTAGGTATTCAGCCTTTCTGATGGCTGTTTCTCAACATTTTATTATGAAAAATTTCAAATATGGCAAAATTGAAATAATTTCACGGTGCACACCATATACTCTCCATTGAAAGTATACCATTAATATTTTACTATGCTGGCTTGATCACATACCTGTCCACCCTTCTATCCAACAATTAGTGTATCTTATTTTTTCGTGCAGTTTAAAGTTCATTGCAGATATTGGTATACTTTTTCCTAAGTATTTCATAGCATACATATCATTAAATAGAGTTCAATATTTGTTTAGAAGTTTGTTTTTTTTAATATTAAATTCACATATAATGAAATGTGGATATTTTAAAAGTATATTTGCTGAGTTATTTTTTTTTTAAGAGTGCATGCACATGCGAGCAGTGAGGAAGGGCAGAGAGAGAGAGAGAGAGAATCTTAAGCAGTCTCCTTGCCCAGCACAGAGCCCAATGCGGGGCTTGATCTCATGACTCTGACATGACCTGAGCCGAAATCAAGAGTCAGACGCTTAGCCAGCTGAACCACACAGGCACCCCCATTTGCTGAGTTTTAACACATGCCTACACCTATGTAACCCAAACTCCTGTCAAGATATAGAACATCACCATCTTCCCAAACCAAACGTTTCATACCTCTTCCTAGTCAGTTTCTGCTTCTAGCCTCCCAGAGGGGACTTTTTTCCGAATTTTTTCTATCTTAGATTAACTTTCTGTGTTCTAGAATTTCATTTTAACAGACTAACAGTTTGTATTTTTGTGTGTGTGTGTTTAGCTTGTTTAACTCAGCATAATGCTTTTTGAGATTTATCTGCATTGTGATTATCAATAGTTTGTTCCTTTAAAAAATTATTTAAAATTTACTTTGTTATTGATAAAGTCACTTCTGGGTTTTTTTTTGCTCACTGTTAGTTGGTATATCTTTATCCATTCTCCCCTCCCGTTTAGTCTGTTTGTATCTATTTTTTTTTAATTTTGTATCTATGTATTTAAAGTAGGTTTCTTATAGGCAGCATATTGTTGGGTTGCTTTTTTAATCTGCTCTTAATCATCTTTAATTTGGTTGTTGAGACCATTTATATTTAATGTGATTGTTAATATGGTCGGATCTAAAAATGCCATTTTGCTGTTTGTTTTTTGTCTTATCCATTCTTTGTTTCTTTTGCCCTTTTGTTTTTCTTTCTTTTGGATTGAGTATTTTTATGATTCCATTTTATCTCAGTTATTAACTGCAGTTTATTATTCTGTTATTTTAGTGTTTGCTTTAGAGTTCATAGCACACATCTTTAACTTACCAGTTTATATTCCAGCAATTGATTACATTTCACATGTAGTATAAGAACCTTACAGTAGTATACTTAGATTCCTTTCCTCCTAGTCATTGTGCCATTGTTTTTGTTTGTTTGTTTTTAACTTATGCTATAAACCCCCCAACACATTATGGTCATTTCTCCTTTAAGGAGTTTTAAATAATAAGAGAAAAAGCCTTTTGTATCTACCTGTGTAGTTACTGTTTCCAGTGGTCTTCATAATATTTGTATAAATCAGATTTCTGTGTGGTATCATTTTTCTTCTGCCTGAAGGACTTTCTTGAACATTTCTTGTAATGTAGTCCTGCTGGTGAGGAGTTCTTTCAGCTTTGTATGTCTGTAAAAATCTTTATTTTGCCTTCCTTTTGCAAAGATATTTTTTCTGGGTATGGAATTCTAACTTGATATTTTTTTCTTTTGGTACTTTAATGATATTGTACCAATGTCTTCTGGTTTGCATTTATTGTGAGGAGAATCTTCTATCATCCTTATTGTTAGTCCTTTGTATGTAAAATGTCTTATTTCTTCTGGATGTTTTTAGATTTTTCCCCTAAGCTAGTAAATTCCATTACGATGTGCTTTGCTGTCATTTTCTTCATGTTTCTTTTGCTTGGGTTTGTTGAGCTTCTTGGAATTGTGGGTGGTTTTCATCAAATTTGGATAACTTTTTGCTATTTTTTTTTTCAGCTTTTTTGGTCTTCCTATCTAGCAGTTTATATGGATCTTGTTAATGTTTTCCTTTTCTCTAATTATCATCAATTTTCTCTCTAGCTTATAGAACATAGAGAATTCAGTTATATTATGAATGCCCTGTCTACTAATTAAATCATCTGTCATTTTTAGGTTGATGTTGATTTTTTTCCCTCTTTATTAAAGGTTGAATTCTTTTGCTTCTGTGCATGCGTGGTCATTCTTTGTTTGGAAGCCAAACCATGAATTTTACCTAAATGGGTGGCTGTATATTTTTGTATTCCTATAAATATTCTTGATTTTTGTTCTGGGACACAGTTCATTTACTTGTAAATAGCTTGATCCTTTTAGGTCTTGCTTTTAAGCTTTGTTAGGTGAGGGGCACCTGGGTGATGCAGTCGGTTAAGAATCCAACTCTTGGTTTCAGCTCAGGTCATGATCTCAGGGTCCTGGAATCGAGCCCCACATTGGGCTTCATGCTTAGTGTGGAGTCTGCTTGAGATTCTCTCTCACTCTCTTTCTTCCCCTTCTGCTCATGCTCTCTCTCTCTCTTAAAATAAGTAAATAAAATCCTAAAAAAAAAAAAAAGCTTTGTTAGGCGGAACCAGAGCAATGTCTGTGGCTAATCTATCCCCTTTTACTGAATCTAAAACCTCTCTGAGTAATCTACCTAATGACTGGTGAATCATAAGACATTTTTTTCTGGCTGGTGGGAAGAGGGACTATTTTTGACCTACCTTGCTTGAACTCCAAGTATTATTCCCTCTACTCCATTTGGGTCTTTTCCCTAGACTACAGTAATTTCCCATGTGTGTGATGATCAGTATTTAGCTTAAGACTCCAAGAAGACTCTTGAGTTCTCTTTATGTAGCTTACTACTCTTCCGTAATCTGTCCTGCCAACATTAGCCACCTTTGCCTCCTAGACTTCCAATTTCTGTCACCTCAGCTCAGAGAGACCATCAACTCCA